GCATGCGTTATAAAGTGACACGGTATGAAGACAGAAAACAGTGTGAAATATATATATAAAAGATTTATTTAATTATAATAATGTTTTGCAAATATATGATTTTCAACAAATAAATGAATAACAACAAAAACACATATCAATAAATAATATAAGATAGGTAGGAAGAACAGAAGGTCGACCTCCCTATGAGGTAACGTAACATCAATAAAATATACTTTTTGATACACTCAGCTAAATCACATATTTTTTATTTTTATACCAGGAGACATTATTATTTATATTAAATCACGAAATATTCAAATCAACAAAATATATCGTTTATAACAGAAGCCAGCTAGGGATAGAAGAACATCGACTCTTCTCAGTTACTTCCAAATTTGTTTTGTTTTCATATCTACAACTTTTTCCTCATCTATTTTTCTAAAGTTATTGTATTACAGAATGACACTCCATGTGCGGTATCTGTAGTTCGCACAGTCTTGAGTTGTTTTTTCGTCCACGTACTTCAACCTCTTACCACTTTAAAGAGTTTTTCTAAGTTTTTGGTAGTTTATCCGCCCATGTTTTCATCTTCTTTAACAATTACGGTTGCCCCACTGGTGGTTATTTTTATTATTTTTATTGTACTTCTTACTTTGCGGAGAAATTTCGGTGTTTTAAAATCAGGCAGATGTATTTTTGACGACGGGTATTAAGCCGATTTCTAGAGTAACAATCCTGTATAGGGATTGCGACGATATACTTGAATAAAAATCTAGGGAAGATAAGACAAGTAATAAGTGTCTCTCACATGGGCATAAAGAAGCATGTATCTTAATAATGCAGGTTCGGTTAGGTTAGGTTGAAGTAACGGTCTTCTGTCCAAAGCCCATTTGAGTTCGAATAATGGCCCGTTGTGACACCACGAATTAGTGTTGCTTATAGACGGACTAGAGGTCAATGTATGAGTGGCGTCCAATATCACGACTCCCCATTCAAATAAAGGTGAACCAACCTGACAAGTCTAAAAACTTGATCAAATCCCTAAGTTTGTAGAATTACAACTCTGTCAGCTCGTTAAGAAAACATTTTGTATGTCCTCCTAGTCAATTATTGACGTTGACATATGTGGTGGGGTACAGTTTTCTCCTCATTCACAGTGCCACTACAAAAGTCATTATAGGTGTCGACCCAAACTCATAGCATTAGTCCCATAGTTCAATATCTACACTTAGAAAAGTATGCTGTAACCACATACTAGTTAAATTGACTTGATCATTTTGTTAGAAAAATTTCAGATCATTTTTAAAGAAGATGTGAAAACCAACATGTGGTATGGTTGAACCTATGTTACATGATGTGTCAACTAAATTATTTTTTTCTGAATGTAGTATGGTAAGCAAATATCGATTTTATTTAGCAATGTTGAAAAGAATTGCATTAATAATATATGAAAGAAAAAGTTTCTTTGATAACACAAATTTACAAATAAATTTTATTTTTAATTACTGAAGATTCTCCAAAAATTTCAACTTTTTAATAAGAATTTTCTAAAGAAGGGTTATTTATTGCTCCACGCCTTTAGTCATGAAAAGTATTCTATTTTTGTGCTATGTATTATTTATCTAACCCGCTGTATTCGATAACGGTTGGAAGATTCCAGAGCAATGTGTAGAGAAATGGTACTTCTATTCTTTCTATCTATGTTTTTTTTTGTTTTGGATTACCATAATTTTATAAATTTTTTTTGGCGTTCCAATGTGTTGGTTATCCTTTATTTTTCCATTTTAATTATATTCTCATATTGGGCTACATTTTTATTAGTTTTGGTTTTTTTTTCGTTTTCGAAGCGATTGTCGAAGTTTTCTTTTTGGGATCGAAACAATTGCACATTCCAAGTTATTATAATGAAATTTATTTTTCTTTTGCATTCCGCGCATTGGCGTCCATTGTATTAGCCGGCGGACATATGGAAACGGACAAAAGTTACATTCACGACACACAATGGAGTGCGAAAGTTTTATAATTTCAAAGAAGTGCTCGTGTTCTGCGAGATGGTGGGGTAATACTATACAAAAGAATAGTTCCATTGTACTCGTACATATAGAATTATGTGTATAATCGCGTGTTTGTGCATCCGGTCTTAGTTGCGAACGGGATAAAGGAATTGTTGCCGTTTTGTTGTTTAATTTTGGATTATTGCTTCACTGCTGCTGTCGTGGCTGTTAGTGCTTATGGGCGACTCGGGGTGCTTTCATTTCTAATTGAGTGCAGAAATGACACTGGTATGAATTGGTGCCTTCATGTTGTCTTTGTCTTTGGCTCATGAAGTCAACAAACGTTGCCAGTTACCCATTTAAGTTTATTGTACGGGATTTCATTATATTTTAAGTTTTATCTTTTTTGCTTGTTAAATTGGTTCTGCTGTTGTCTGCCAAATTCTGGTGTTGATGTCGATTTTGTTCCAACCTTACTTCTTTTTTATACGTTCACTGCTGTTCTGCTATAAAAACAATTGCAAAACTTTGCTCTTATCATAGCTGGTCGTTTGAACGGTGGTCGTTTCAACAAATCCCAGAAATAAAAGAAACCACATGAAAAGAAAACTGAAACCGCGTCGCGACTCTCTGACTCTACTCCAAAGTATACTTTTTTTGGCTTTTGGTTCCTGCTTCCTTTTATTTAACTTTTATTATTTTGTTTTTTTTTTTGTTTGTATTTTATCTCTAAAAGCATTATTTTTGACTGTTTTAATTTTATGGCAAAGTTTTTCTATCCTCAATACTCCGCTAATGGTGAAGGATATCGCACAACATTGACATATACAAAACGAAATCTTATCCTGCTCTACATGTTGGCATATCGTGCCAATTTGATGCTAGGATCTCAATGTACTATATTGTATCAAAATGTAATTACGATATCTGCATTTAAGTGCGGCACAAATTCGTTTTTGAGTTTCCTTTGACCTTTTTGAATGGACCAATTTGCCTCATGTGCAAATTTATGCTGTCCCAAAACACAGTCAAAGTTAAAAATAAAATCGGTATTGATTGACGTGCAAACATAAAATTTCCCTACCGCTTATGTACATATTTTCTGTTGACCTTACTTATCTATGAAAAGCTTTTAAGAAAACGTCAAACTTAAGTGGCGAAATAAAACAGAATAAAATTGCAAAATTGGGTCCTCCTTTACCAATTCAATCATTTGGTCTGCCTCCTGTCAATCAGTGTTTGGTTTGATGATGTGGAGTGCCACTCGACTTCGTTTCGGACACAATTCGAAAGTTAAAAGCGCAAAGGGGTCATCGCTTTTTGAACCAATTTCATTTTCCTCCTATTCATTTCCTCCCCATTCCAATTTTTTCTTCCGTATCTATCAATATTTAATTTATAGAATTTTTTACAAGGATGATTTACTTTAAGAGTTATTCACTCAATTTAATAATTAAAAAATTACTTTACTCTTTAAAAAGGTTAATGCAGAACGGAAAAATTGTTAAATTAGTAAATGAAAATTAATTAGATCTTTCATGTTGATAAGATAGGTATCTTAAAGCAGAACTCAGGAGCAGTTCCACTTAAAAGTATATGGAGTAAAAGACTAAATTAGAGGAATATATTTGAACTAAAATTGTGCTTACATTAAAGGATAAGAATAAGTTACGTTTATAAGTAATATAATTTCATTTTAATATTAAATTTAATTTAACATAATTTTATAATCTACATATACGTTAAATAGATAATATAATTTTATTTAATTTTTTCACTTTTTACACCATATATATTTTTTGATTTATACCAAAAATGACACCTGATTTCAATCTTGTTTGGCAAATCAGAATGAAAAGATACTGAATCGCATTGCGTATAGAAGTCATTAGAGTTACTATAAAAATAAAATTTAAATTTAAATTATTATTACAATAAAAAATAATTAAGATATTTCCATTTAAATCTGTTTACTTATTTTTTTGTGGCATGAATAAGATAATTTTGACTTAAATGACATGTGATTTCATCAAGGTTTTGCAATACGTCATACAAGTCATCAGGCAAGAAAAAAAATTAAATTTGCTTTTAACTTCGTTTATGACGACAGTGACTAAAATTGAATAAAAATTTTGTTGTTGCAATTCACTACTATTCGAAACTTTCCAAAAAAAATAAAACAATAATCCTGTGATATTCACAAATATAGATGTAAACTGTTAACCAAGAATGTGTGATATAACTTCATTTCATTTTTTTTTTCTGGAGGCTATTTTCAATTATTGCTTACTCAAATAAACCACAAACTCAATTACTTTAGATCAGATTAAAAAATTGTGATTTTAGAGATACACTTCGATCTATTGGAACATTTTGACAGTGGTCTATTGTCATTGTAAGTAGTAAAACTCGAATTGGAGCATTAAAATTTAAAAGTTTCAAAATCAAATATTTTCAACTTACGATTATTTTTATTGCGAAAATAGAGCTTGGTGGCCATTCGAATACTACCCACTCTTCTGATCTTTAGATTATTTAACTAACTGATATTTCCAAAGAATACAGATGATTAATATTTGATAATATATGAAAATAAAGAAAATTTAATTAATTGCTAAATTGTAGTAATTTTTTGACTATTTACTTTTTTTATTTATCTATTCTATTTCCATACTCTTTAACATGATTCGCTCTATTTAAATTTTTGTATTATATTTCGTTAATGCTTATCATAATTAGGGTTATCACAAATCTTGTTAAAAGTATGTTACTCCTACCACTTCATACTTATAATTTTTTCCTTAATGCGATGTTGAAGCTAGCACTGGCTTGTTATAATAAATTGAAAATTATTAATTTTTCAAAATAGGTTTACATAGCTAGATATTTCGATATATTATTATAAATGATATGAAAAAAAAA